GAGGTAAACAGGAAAGAGAAATCATAAGAGACTTATTAAGATTGAACTGTTTACATTCCTGCATGGAAAGATGATATTTGTAACTCATGAGAACTTTGTCAGTATTAGGGTAGTTGAAGGAAAAAAATTGTATGTATGTATATATAGATAGATAGAGGGCACAGGGTGAGTTGAAGATTAAGGGGTCATATCTGGAGAATAAAATTAAGGGATGAGAGAGGATGATACTGAGAAGAAAGGGAGAGGTAGAATGGGGTAAATTACACAAAACACAAAAAAAAAACAGAGAAAAGAAAAGTCTCTCACAGTGGAGGGGAAACAGGGAAGGTGAGAGGGAATGAGGGAATCTTATTCTCATAGGATTTGGCTTAAGGAGAGAATAACATACACATTCAATTGGGTATGGAAATCTGTCTTACCCTACAGGAAAATAGGGGGAGAAGGGGACAAGAGAGCAGGGGGTGATAGAGAGGAGGACAAATTGGGAAAGAGGGTAATCAGAAGCAAATACTTCTGAGGAGGGACAGGGTCAAAAGAAAGAATAGAATAAATGGGAGGGCAGGATAGGATTAAGGGAGAGTTAGTTTTTCATAACATGTCTACTAAGGAAGTGTTTTGCATAACTGCACATGTACAACCTATATTAAGTTGCTTGCCTTTTCAATGAGGGTGGATGGGGAGGGAGAAAGGGAGAAAATTTGGAACTCAAAGTTTTAAAAACACATGTTTTTAAAAAATGTTTCCACATGCAACTGGGAAATAACAAATACAGGAAATGGGGTACAGAAGTCTATCCTGCTCTACAGGAAAATAGAAGGGGAAGGGGATAAGAGAAGGGAGGGGGGAGAGATAGAAGAGAAGGCAGAACAGGGGAAGGGGTATTCAGAATGCATGCCATCTTGGGGTGAGGGGTGAGAAATTTGGAACTCAAAAACTTGTGGAAGTGAATATTGAAAACTAAAAATAAATAAATTTATATTACCAAAAAAAAAAGAAAGAAAAAAAAAGAAAAACTTGGTTCTTGGTGAAAAAGGCTGATTCTGATACAACCCAAGTCCAAACAGCTCATTCCTAGCAGGTTGGCCACCAGATGGTGAATTTTTGGAGTCAGAGCAATCTATGAAACAAAGAAAGTAAAAACCAGCATGTCAGTCCCACAAAGTCCCCTTCTTTGGGCATCTAGGTGGTGTGGTGGTTAGAGTGCCAGGCCTAGAGCCAGGAGGACTCAAGTTCAAATCCAACCTCAGACACTTACTAGCTATGTGACCCTGGCCAAGTCACTTTACCCTATTTGCCTCAGTTTCCTCATTTGTAAAATGAGCTATAGAAGGAAATGACAAATCACTCCAGGATCTTTGCCAATAAAACCCCAAGTAGAGATTACGAAGAGCCAGACACAACTGAAAAACAATCTTCCCTGCTTATTGGGGGGCAAGGACAGAAGGGGGGTGTCAACAGAGGGTCCTAAGAATCATAGCTTTAAGGTGGGCACCAAACATTCGTTTAACAGTGAGAATAAGTCGATACAATCCTGGAGGACTGGAGCCATATGAATATTGACATTTAGGCAGTAAAATGAAGGCAGAAGATTCGAGGAAGTTGCTGGTAAATGGAGGAATGGCTCATGGATTCTCCTGGGACAGACAAACAAGGCACCAGCAGCATTGGTGTTATTTCACAGCCAAAGACAACAAGAAACGTCATTTCATGAGGCACCTGATTGTTTCATGTTGCAGAGCTCACAATGAGAGTAAGCAAACACTTAGACCCAGGAAGACACTTGGTGGCTTTCTTTTAAATGATTTCCTTATTACCTTTTAAAATAGCCCATTATTTACCTAGCCTCCCACTGAAGCCTCCCTTGTATCAAAGGAAGATCTCAAACCAAACCAACAGCATTCTACCATCCCCCAGCTCTCTACTTACAGGAGGGACACATCAGTCAGTCAGCAAGCATAGGAAGCAACTACAACGTGGACGGACAGCAACCCCCTGTAATTCTACAATCAATGGGGAAATTTCTAATTTTTTTTTATTGTTACCACATCATGTGGCTACGAATATTTTGTGAGCTATGGAGAGCACCATGAAAATCAGAAAACTCCGGAAGAACGTGATTTTCTCCGAAACAAGTCCACCTATATCTGGATACTTGGAAATTTTGGGGAAGTGAGCAAGGGGAAGATATTGAAAACTATGATGGAAATGGTGATTTTGGATTAAGAAAGAAAAGAAGCTAAAGGATCCTACGTTACTGAGAAGCCTCACAACTGCGTGCCAGAAATACTTTCTTGAGGAAAGGGTGTTGGACATAGCAGAGCACCAAACAATATTACTGAAGATGAAATGGACAGTTTACATATATTTTCAGGCTTTTCCTACATTTGGTTTAGTTTTACTAATTTTTTTCCTTTAAAAATATTATTTGTTATATGGAATGGCTGTCTGGGAAGGAGGAAGAGGGATACTGGGAGGAATTTTGTTAATATAAAAAAAACAAGAGAGTAATAAGATTTATTTAAAATAACAACAACAAAAAGGATAAACTTGACTATATCTCAAAGCTGGGAAAGAATTAGGTACTGATATGGTGGCCCTTTCTGATTCTGACATCTGTATTCAATCTTCACCCCAGTCAGCCATCCAAGCCGGACAGCAGGATCTTGCCAGGATGGGGCTGTCTTACTGCTGCCTGACTGCCTCCCTCAGAAACAATGACCGTCTGGACCCAGGCGTTTGGGGGAATTAACTTGGCTTGGGGATTCACCCTGAGGGGAGGGCTGCCTGGATGGGGTGAGTCAATCCTCACCTCAGGATTGGCTACCTACCTGCATCTGTGTACCCCACAGAACATCCTGCAGCCCATGCAGGATCTAACTAGTATGCATTCCATCTCCCACTCCCCAACCTTCTGGCTCAGAAAACAATAAGGCAATCCATGCTACGACTGCCATTGGAGAAAGTGGGACAGTCTAATGACGCGTGGCCTGCACTCACTGGCAGCTCCTGGGCCTGCCTAGAATTAAGGGAAAGTTCCCCTCCAGGTGTGCTATTCCCAAAGAGGTTTCTAGTAGAATATAAGCTCCTTGAAGGTAAGAACCGTCACCCTTTCACTTGGGAATTTAATAAAAGTTGTTGAATCACTACTTAGCTGACTTCCTCAAGAGGTGAAAAAGTGACATATGAAATTTTGACAGAATTGATTTCACTTGTACGATAATCACCACAATGATAGCTGGCATTTATATAGCCCTTTAAGGCTGTAAGTCTTGGCCTCCCATTTCACAGATGAAGAGACTGAGGCCTAGAGGGAAGATGACAAAACCCGAGGTCCGGGGGGAAGGGACCCCAAAGGCCATGGAGTCTTGGCCGCCTATCGCACAGATGGGGAGACTGAGGCCCAGAGAGGGGAGATGACAAAATCTGGGGTCTCTCAGGAAGGGAGCTCTGAGGCCATGGCATCTTGGCCACCCATTGCATAGATGGGGAGACTGAGGCCCAGAAAGAGATGACAAAATCGGGGTGTATCAGGAAGGGACCCAAAGGCCATGGCGTCTTGGCCTCCCATCGCACAGACGGGTACACCGAGGCCTCGCCCGAGGCCCCCAGCTGCAGGCGCAGCAGCAGGGGAGAGGGAGAGGAAGGGGAGGAGGCGGACGCTCGCACTGCGGCCCCGCCCCGCCCCCGGCGCCACATCATCAGGGACTCCTCGCTTCCAGCCCCGCGGCGCCGGCAGCGGCAGCTGTGCGAGCGGCAGCGGCAGCAGCTGGAGCGGAGCGCCCCGCGCGTGCGCACACAGCCCCGGCGTGGGGCTCCGAGGGGCGGGGGCGGGGAGCCCCGGAGTCGGGCGCGAGCGCGGGCGGGGTGGGGCGGGGCCGCGCGCGACCCGGACGGGCCCTCGGGCAGGCCGAGGCGGGGCGGGGCGCGCGTGCCCGGCGCGCTCGCGCTCACACCGGCTCGGGGCGCGCGCGGCGCGCTCGCGCTCTCTCGCGCAGGCTGCGCTCGCGGAGCCGGGACCTGTCACGGCGGCGGCGGCGGAGCGCAGCGGGGGGCAGCAGCCAGGCCGCGCCGACCCCCGGTCCGGGGCCCTAACCGCTGCCCCCAGCGAGCGCCGACCGGCAGGTGAGGATGGAGGGAAGGTCGCGGCTCGTGCGGGGGCCGGGGCCGGCTCTCCCAGCGCCTCCCAGGTAGGGGAAACTGAGGCTGGGCCGAGAGTCACGGGCGCCCGAGGCTGGAGCTGGAGGGGACCGCGGGCGACCCCGGCCCCGACAGACGGGGAAACTGAGGCCCGGGAGCGCGATCACGTGACCCGCCCGAGGACCGTCGGGTCGTAGCCTTAGAGACCATCTACTTCAATCCGCCCTCATTTTACAGAGGGGGAAACTGAGGCCCGGGGAGCAGTGGCGTGGCCCTGGTCACAGGGGGAAGGGACCCCGGGGACCTTCTCATCTTGCACAGGGGGAAACTGAGGCCCGGAAGGGCTGATCTCATGGCTTTGGAGTCTGGGAGAACCTGGATTCGAATCCTGCCCCCGCCCCTTGAGAGCTCTGAGGCCACAGGCAGGTGGGAGAGGAGCCCCCAGGTCCCCTGCAGCTCCCCGACCCCGGGGTTGCCCCGCGGCTTCCTCATCTTTTAGAGGAGGCGCCCTAAGGAGCAGCAGCTGAATTTGAACCCAGGGCCCTCTGACTGCAAGTCCAGGGCTCCTTCACCTATGCCCTGACGTGGTGTGTGGGGGCGCCCGTTAGCGCCCCCGGCCAGGGAAGGTCCTGTTCTCTTTCCCGGCCTCAGTCTCCTCATCTGTAGCATGCACGGACCAGGCTCTCTGTGTACCCTTTTGCCTTTCATTCAGGGGTGGGCTGCTGGCTCCAAGACCGCCCTGTCTGCCCCATCCCAAGGATGACCCTCTCTAAAGACCTGTGGGCCACAGCCTGAGCTGTACCGGGTGGTCCAGTGCCCTCCTTCTGGAGATAGGGAGGCCTCAGGAGAAGGGGGTGACTCACCTAAGGTCACACCACAAGTAGGTGATGGGCTGGTGGTTCTGTGGACAGGGTTCTGGGCCATCGGCGCAGGTCACCGATTCCTGGTCTTAGAATGGATAGTGGAGTTCATCAAGTTCATCTCCTTTCTGGATAGCAAGTTCCTGGAGCGGATGCCATCCCAGGCAGGTCACCTGGCCGGCAGTCCCCGTCCCAGGCAGATGGCCTCACCTGGCCAGCAGTTCCATCCCAGGCAGGTCACCTGGCCGGCAGTCCCCATCCCAGACAGGTCACCTGGCTGGCAGTCCCCATCCCAGACAGGTCACCTGGCTGGCAGTCACCTTACCTGGCTGGCAGTCCTGTCCCAGGCAGATCACCTAGCCGGCAGTCACCTCACCTGGCTGACAGTCTAGCAAGGGCACTTGGCAAGGAGTCAGAAAATCATGGCAAAGCCTTAGGGGTCATGTCGTCCAGTCTTCTCAGAGGCTTGTCTGAGGTTCCGCAGAACAGTGGTAGAGCGGGATTTCCAGCCTCAGTCTCCTGATTCCACCCTGGGTTTGAGGATGGCCGGTGCCACTTAGTACTGGAGTGACGTTGGCTAGGTCACTTCTCTCTGGCCTTCTCTTTGGTCCACTGTAAAGTGATGGGATTGGACAGCAGCCTGGAAGACCCTTGCCTTCTCTGAATACTAGTTTGTATGGCGGGGAAAGGGGGTTTCTGGTGCCGCCTTCCTTGTGGCTAAGGCTTAGGTTCAGGAGGCTTATGGAAGTGGGCAGCGCCAATGGGCCATCAGGCACAGTTTTATTTCTTCCCCATGCATTGGGCAGAACCAGCAGTGCCAGAGAGCACACCCCAACGCTTTTTCTTAAAAAAAAAAAAAAGAAAACCAAAACCTTTTTTCCGTCTTTATCTTTTGTTTTTACATCACCAGAATTCTTCCAGTGTCCATCCCCCCTCCCAGAGAGCAATGTGATATAACAAATTCTATTTTTTAAAGAAAAAAAGAGACAAAAACAATCAGCAAAACCGATGGATACTTCGAGAGTCTGGAAAGGGGTGTCATAGGCTCTGCAGAGGAGTGGGCCCCCATCATGTCCTGGGCTTCATGGCTCTCTCTTATGTAACATTTTCCTCTTTCCTCCTCTTGTGCATTTGAGCAATCAGAAAATAACCTGACAGATTCTAGGCTCTGGGTCAGCACCGAGGCTGCTGGATTGGGAGTCAACAGATCTGGTTTCCAGTGTCACTCTTGCTGACTGCTTCTCTTGTGACTCTAGGCAAATCACTTCCTTTCTCTGGGCCCCGTTTTCTTCCTCTAGAAACTGATCAGCTTGGACCCAGTGATCTCTAATCCACTGCAATTCAACACACATTTATTGAGCCCTTTGGATGTACTGGGAATAAAAAGATAACAGTGCCTGAATTAACATTCCCTTTGGGGTGGTTCAGTGCGTGCATAGATAATTACTGTCCAAAGAACACGGAGTAGGAGTACTAAGCATGGAGGACAGGAGTGTTGCTTGTTTTTTTTTTTCCATCGTATTCCCTGGGCTTAGCGTAATGCCTGGTATGCAGTAGGTGCTTAATGAATGTTTGTTGAATGAGTGATATTGGGGATCATACAAGGAAGGCTTCATAGAGGAGGTGCCACTTGAACAGAGATGGAGGGGGGGATGTTATTCCAGATATTGGGGGTGATTTGTGTGAATACCTTGAGGCAGCCAGGTGGCCCAATGGATAGAGGTTGGGACCTGGAGTCTGGAAGACCTCAGACACTGCCTGGCTGTGTGACCCTTGGGCAAATCATTTTACCTTTGGGCCTCGATTCCCTCATCTGTGAAATGGGGATAATTGTAGCCCTTGTTTCCTAGGTTGTTGTGGGGGTTGAATGAGTTCACATATGTAAAGCCCTTTGCAAACCTTAAATCTCTATGTGAATGCTAGTGTCGCCTGACTAGCTCAGCTCACCACAAGAGCAAGGATCCTACACTTGAAGGGATAAGAACAGCTTAACCTTCTATCTCAAATGCGCATTGATGAGGCGGGAGACATCATGGAAGCAACTCTGTTTAATTTTAACAAAGCATTCACTTAAGCAGTAAAGTAACAGGAACTTCTCAAGTTACAATGACTTAGAGCTCATGCTGTGCTAAGGACAGTGCATGCATGTCCTGTGCACTTATCTGACTCCAATCACAGATAAACTGCTAATGACCATACAGTAACTAAGGGAGTTAAAGATTGTTAAAGATCCATATAATGGATCACTGAACAGGCGACCTTTGCTCATAGATCAGCACTCAAGAGGGGCCTCTGTCCATCAGTGAGACCTCATAAACAGCCTGTGGCCCTCTACATCCTTACAGATCACCAGCATGCTAGCAGTTATTATTATTACGCAATGTCAAGTTCAGAGAATGGCTAGAGTCTACCTTGGCTCTAATGTAGTGTATTGTTCTGGAACTCTCAGGTGGGTTCCCCAGAAAAGCTTTCCCCAAGTTTAAGGAACTCTCAGAGTCCATATCTGCTAAACATCACAGCTCACAAGTTCCCACCCAAGTGTTTACCATTAATAGTTAGCCAGGGGACATAATTAATTCAGAGTAAAGGTATTTAAAGAAGGGCATAGTGAGAAAAGTAGCAATAAACTATTTCTCCCATAAACTTGGAGCATATTTCCCACATAAATAGAAAGAGTGGAGACACGTAGGGAGTACACAAAAGGGGCGTGTGCAGAGGGAATGTGTTTGACCAGGACACACATGTGGAGTAGCTTACATGTGTAGCCAGACACTTGCATGGCAGGACAACTCAACTCCCTCCCCCCCATGCTCCTGGGACCCTGATGTATCCTGGCTGTGCTCCCACTGGGTGTGCTCCCCACTGGTCTCCCCCGAGCTCATTGTCTTTGCCTATGGCTCTTGGTGTGCTTCAGCTGCATGAGGAGTTTCCATCACACATGGCCTGGGCTGGCCCGACCTGGCTCCCTACAGAGCTATGGAACTTCTCCCTGCCTAGCTACACTGAAATTTTTAGCTATGGGACTGGTCTCTTCCATATGAGAAGAGTGGGCTCTGCTGTGCTGTTTTAGTTTTAAAAGCCAGAGACTTTTCATTTAAAAAAATAGCTGCCCTTACCTTAGCTGTAAGACCTGCATCTGCCCTATGTATGATAGGAAAAAACTGAGAGGGAAAGAATGAGAACGATTAGAGAGATGCTGTTGATATAAAACTGACAAGACTTAGCAACTAATTAGAGATGGAAAGTGAAGGAGAAGGAAAGAAGATCTGGGAATAATTTCACGGCTGCAGACCAGGTGGGTTGCCCTCAGTCAATTAGGATGCCCTTTGGACTTTGCATGGAAAGTTTGGAGGTAGGACAGGCTCCATGGGGAAGATAGTGAGTTCCACACCCATGTGTGTGACGCCTGTGGGACATCTAAGACGTGAGATAGAGCAGGCACTCAATGTATGGCTGACATCTAGGAGAGAGGTTAAGACTGGATATCTCAATTCAGGGGTCATTAGATGAAGCTTACACCCTTGGGAGCTGATGAGGTCTTCAGAGCAAAGGAGCCTGGCTAGGTGCGGTCAGACAGCAAATATCCCTTCCAGTTTTCAGCCTGTTTTTGCATGAAGGCAAACAAGTTGTCAGGTCTGCTAGTCACCCTCATTCACCTCATTTGTGCTGGGTGATAACTGAGTAAGTGCTAGTTGAATCTTTCTTTCAAAACTTTCTACAGGGCTCTTTAAGTCTCTGTCTTTCCTATATTAGGTGAGTTCTATCCTTTTCCTATTTTTGTTTTTTTCTGGAATCCTGAGAAAAAACAGAAATCAGCATAACCAGAGACATGGCAAGGATGTGTAAAACTGACCATGTAGAATTTTAGAACTGGGAGGGGCCCCAGTGGCCATTTAGGGCAAACTGTTGTCCAGAAGGAATCCCCAAACACAATGGGGTTTCTGCTTTTAGATTTAATTTGAATAATTGCAATGTCATAGGAATTATACCTATTGACCTCTAGTGTTAACAAAATTTAGGAAAACCAAACAAATATAGTATACTTCTTCTAAGAAAAAAAATCTTTTAATATGTGAGTTTGGGAACTATATCTCTCCCAAAGTTTGAAGGGCCCATTATTATAATATTGTTCATAATTATAGACGGATTAAAGAAAAAGTCATGCACATTCCTTTTGCTTTTAAATCAGTACATTTTTTTAATGAGGCAATTGGGGTTAAGTGACTTGCCTAGGGTCACATGGCTAGTAAGTATCATGTGTCTGAGGCCAGATTTGAGTACTCCTGACTCCGGTGTCGGTGCTCTATCCACTGTGCCACCTACTTGCCCCTTTTTTTAAAAAAATTTTTTTATTAACTTATTTTGATTTATTGACAATCACTTCCCTAAGCTTTTGAGTTTTAAATTTTTCTCCCCTTCCCTCCCCAAGACGGAGTGCAATCTGATATAGGCTCTACATATACATTCCTATTAAACATATTTTCACATTAGTGATGTTGTAAGGAAGAATTACAGCCAATAGGAGGAACCACCAGAAAGAAGAAACAAAACAAAACAGAAGAAAAAAATAGCAAATAGTATATGCTTCGATCTACATTCAAACTCCATAGTTCTTTCTTTGGATGTGGATAGCATTTTCCATCATGAGGCCTTTGGAGATGTTTTAGATCCTTGTATTGCTGAGAAAGGTTAAGTCTGTCAATATTAGTCATCACACAATGTGGCTATTACTGTGTACAATGTTCTTCTGGTTTGAGCATGATCTTTTCTTTAGAGACCCCGTGGTGTTTCACTTCCTTTGGCTTCTTTTCAATGAACTTTTCATTTGTTTTGTTGTAGTAAGTAGATTCAGTTTTGGTTCTCTTTATTTCTGTATTGGTTCATAACGTCTTTCCATGTTTCTCTAAATTATTCATAGTCACCATTTTTTATTACATAGCAATATACATTGCATTTATATACCACAGTTTGTCCAGTCTCAGTAAGGAGTGTATGACTCATTTAACCGTACATACAGATAACCTGGCCGGGCTTGTGATCATAGCAGCAGTGAGAGCCAGAGACAGAACCTTTAAGGTTTGTCAAGAACTTTGCCTATGTGATTTTCATTAAATCCTCACAACAGCCCTGGGAGGAATGAAGTGACTTGCCCAGGGTCACATGGGGAGGGCAGTAAGTGTCCAAGGTGCCCAGACTCGAGGCCTGAGCAGCCCGATACAGTTTGCAGGGGGGTGGCCCTTGCCTATGGGAGTCTGTAGGCCGATGCTCTTTCCTGGAGTGCTCTGCTTGCTGGAGGTGCTGGAGCAGAAGGGCCGTCCCATCCCTTCTTGGGTGGTTGGCTGTTGTCCTTTGCTCTTGAAGAGGACCAAAATGACCCCACTGTGTTAGAGTCAAGGTACATTGTGTCTGACTGTGGCTGATCAGACCGGTACGAGCTCATAATGTTCAGGCACTAATAGTCCATGTGAACGTTTGGGGTGGAGTCTCCAAACTCGAGCATCTCGTGTTTCTTTTGTGCTGCTTCAGTTGTTTTGCTCACAGAGCCAGCACCTTCTCTGATGAGGCCCGCCATGCTGGTGGCCCTGTGCCACCGTCTCCCATGTCATGCAATCAATTCCAAGGTTCTTAGGGAGACCTTGAGAGCGTCTTGTGTCGCTTCTTCTTACCACCATGTGGGGTTCTCTTTTAGGCAAGCAGACGTTTGGCATTGGAACAGCGTGGCCAGCCCCTTGCGGTTGCGCTCTCTGTAGTAGCATTTGAATGCTTGGCAGTTTAGTTCGACAAAGTGGTCAGGAGTGACGGGTGTGCCTCTGGCGTGAAGGCTGTGGATGGAGCTCTTTTCAGGACTGTTTCCTCCCTTTGGTGTCTGCCTGATCCACCTAACTCCTATGTGTGGCTCCACGAAACCGTGGCACCTGCAGGCCACACCCGGTAAACACCCCTTGTAGAATTACATGACGGAGATGTCCCAAACATGTGCGCCTTTCTTCCCTCTTTTCTTTGACTTTGGCCTTCTCCTTCTGGGTCGTGTTGCCATCCCACTGCTTCTCAGAAGGGCTTCAAAGGGTACTTTGAAAATAATCGTCCCACTTCACTTGGCCCACTCTATGGGGTGAGGGGAGAGGGAAAGTATTACTATTTCTATTTTATATGGAAATACAGGGGCAGCTAGTAACCCAGTCAATAGAGTACTCCAGCTTCAGACACTTTTACTAGCTGTGTGATCCTGG